AATTTAAAGTAAAATGATAAGAGGTAATCAAACAGCAGACTGTAATAATTAAGAATTGGAAATAATCAGAATACTTAGTTACTTCAGAGTGTGGTTTTGTCTACTTGATACCACAACCACATAACGTATATTTTGGTGATGCTTCTTCACGGCCAGTTCGCTGATCTTGTCACTGGTGCAAGATGAAGATGAGGGTTACGTGTAAGTTCCCAAAAATAGTGACCAATTATTTTTGATGACAAGCAGGCAAACAAGGTGTACAAAACCATAGTTACCTTCTCCACAGGTCAGAATTTGTTGCTGCTAACGCTAGGTTATCCGGTGATGGCAATCCAGAAAGTATAAAAGCTTGAAATTTCACTATAGTGTTAATGACTCTGTATATATTTGATTAGGAGAATCACAATTTTTGAAGCAGGAACGATGGATTTTATCCTTAATTATTTATGATTATTTCCTTAGGTTCCAAGTGGAATACAGGGCTTCCACAGCACATCTCCGTTTCATCCCTTTCCCATAAGCTTTCTTGTCCTCCTCACAAGACCTCCTGCATGTGACCCTCGAACCCACGTCCAACTGGTTGTTTCCCACTCTTGTTCCATTCGTGGACCTGGTTGGCGCGTGATGTCACTCAGTGGTATCCTCAGCATTATATATTCAGACCACTTCTATTTCCTTCTGCAAATTCTCTGGGAAATAGATTGTTGGTTGGTTCACTGGATACATGAGTTTCATTGTTTCTTATCTTTTCTGACCGGCCGTTTATCTGATTGGTCTTCAGTATGCAGCCAGAGAAGTCAGCTAATGGAACAAGACTGCAGTAATATGTTAGAAATGTTTTAAACTGACGCAAATGTCAAGTATCTGAACCATGCAGAACCACTGAATTACCTGACATTAAAAAAATTCCTTCACGTTCTCAGTGGAACGTAGGGCTTCAAGATGTAGCTCTGAAGTTCCGGTAGCAGTGATGTTTATTTTTACGGGATGAGGTTGCTAGCCTAATGCTCACCTTTCCCTCTTTACCAATCCTATTGTTGGATTAGCGAGGTAAAGGAGTGTCTCGTCGGCCGGGAATCGTACCCCGTACCACCTGCGTGGTTGGCGGGCACTCTACCACTGTGCCACCTGACATTACTGTTGCAAAATTCGAATCTTCCTCCTTATGCTAAGTGCAGGAGATTTCGACTCTGATTTCAAACTAATAAAGGTGTGTCAAATTCTGGCTTCGATATCTTCAACCGTGCCTTGATAAGGCAGTGAAAGAGGTGACGTGCTTCAAATTTCTCCCAGTGAAAGTGATTGATGCTCGTCATTGTTGGTTAGGAGTATGTATTATTTAACTGGATTTTAAATTTTCCCGTCGACTGATTGGACCGAAGTGCTTGGTCTCAGGTTGACCTGTTGGCTTCTTGTGCAGATGCTTCGATGATGTCTGGGCATGTAAGTAGAAGTTAATTGGTGGATGGTGACTAGCAGTGGAATCCAGGATAAAGTGCATTTCGTCATATTTGGGACTTGTCAGCTGGATGTGGGGACATCATCACTCACTGAGGAATGGAAGCATATCCAGCTGATGAGTCCCAAGTAGGAAGAAATGCGCTTTATCCTGGATTCCACTGCTAGTCACCATCCACTAATTAAGGAGTATGTATCTCTAAATTTTATCCTTAGATTTGTTGAAATGTTTATCGGAGTGATTCAATAAATATTTTTTGTTTGTTTTGCATTGTCATATATATCGTCTTTTTCTAACTGTTTCGCTCTCTCTCTTTTTAAAGTTTGCCAATGTACTCTACTTAGAAGCACCTGCTGGTGTCGGCTTCTCATATTCTGTCAACGGTAGCTTTCAAACAGACGATGATACAGTAAGTTTAGACTCTAATAAATTTATTTCTATCATTTATGTTCAACACACACTTTGTATAAATTTTCTGCAAAAGTTTCTTAACCATGATAACTAAGACATTTTGGCAAAATTAATTCATTATGGGATTCGCAAAAATAATCACTGGTACACAGCAAAAGGAAGCACTTTTAAAACCAGAATAAAGAGGTATAAAGGAGACTGTCGATATCCTCAAAACAATATGAAGCCAGACTGTAAATACACATTTATTTGCTATGTTAAGACGAGTCTCTAAGTTATACATTCAGCGTTCAAACAAATATAAATGCTCTAATAAGGATTTTCCCTTGACTATAATACATCTACATCGCATGTCGGGGGAGGGTAGTTTCGCTCACCTAAAGTTTGTGGATGATATAGTCCTCCAGGGTGAATATACTAACGAGCAAGAAGGTCTTTTGAACACCTTATACAGCAATATTTCAATATTTGACATGTGAATCACCCTCTAATGTTTGTTCCTCTAGAGAACCGCTTAGTCTACGCATTATTATTCAGTCTAGAACTTTAGATACCATATTAGTAAAGTTGATCCCCTTGTGATTATCACAGGAAGACTTGTCTTACTTCTTGTATATCGGGATAATCAATGACTTACACCAAACCGACGACACTTCCTCTGATTCCCAAACTCTGCCTAATACCTTAGCTGACGCAGACAGTAAACTGTCTCGGCCTCCCTTAAAAACCTATGGAGTCATTCCATCGGGTTCAGCAGCTTTGTCTCGTTTCAAACTAGTGACGGGACCTGTGTCTCTATCCCTTTCAGAGAGGCGTTGGATGCTCGGTAAGTTGAGCGAGTTGGCTGTAGGCCAATTAAATTGTCCCTCAAAATGTTCTTTCCAACGTTCCAGTCGTCTATCCTTGGAGCTAATTAGGACATCATTTTCTTCAGAGACTGTTCAACTTATCATTTGTCTTTTACCACCTGTTTCCCTGATAAGCCTAAATTGCCGATGCTAGGTAAGGAGAGGAAATCAAGAGACGAGGCTGTGAAGTTACATCGATTGAGATGGTGAGAAAATATGTTACGTATGCCTAGCCATCCACCGCCTTCCTCGACGGGCAATGTTGACTGACATAAGGTGGGTCAGGTTGGGAAAGAGCCAGTATTGGTCAAATCAGAAATGGTTTCATCAGTCAATGAAATCCACAACAGTTAGTTTAAGCCACATAGGGAGGTGTAGACAACCTAACTGGTTGAGGTCCTGAAAATGATAAAAACCAATGAAGGCTGGAGACAATTGATGGTGATATGGCTCAAAATTGTTGTTAATGTGGCAGATGCATCCACTTCTTGTGACTTATAATATCCAATTAAACTATATGGTTCCTCCGTATTACTATTCTTTTTGTTTCATATCTCTGTTTAGCGTCTCTGTTTTGTATTTCTTTTTACTTTCTTCTTTTCTTTTGTGTGCTAAGTGAAGTGTGGTGATTCGAACTGCTGTACATCAGTGCAAAGGTCTATGTTGAAACGAGTCAGTCAGATTCACCCTCTGCAAGACTGGCCTGCATTGACTATAAGTTTCGAGAAAGCAAGTTGACTGGTCTAGCGTTTTGACCACTTCAGACTTATTTGGGAAGCTGTATCAGTCATAACGGACTGATTGATGACTAAATCTCATTACGGATACAAAATTCCCGTGTGGGACTTGTCAACTTATGTCATTTTTGGCCTAGACGTGTGTACTGTTCATCAGTTAGCTCAGTCCTTTTCTATTGTGTTGAAAGTGGAAGACTCGAAAAGACTAGCTGTTTTTGACCACAGCTGCTAACTTTCTGTTTCTCCTGTTGTGATATCATATGGTGTGTGTAGCTGAACTTAGGCGTACAGCATCGATTAAAGAGGAGGAAGCGGATCGATGAGGTTGTGGAGCTGCGTGAATTAAGATGGTTGGGACGCAGGTGAGGCATGCCAAGCTGCAACCTTCTTTGTCGAATAATGTTAGATGATATTAGATTGGGTTGGAAAGTAGTTAAGGCTGGTTAAACCAACAACTGGCGTCAATCCATGATGTCTTTGACTGTTCGTTTAAGCCAACCATGTAGGTAGGAGTATACTGACTGTCTTTAGACACACAAACAAAACTAGATTAATGGTGGACTCCGAAGCTGAACAAGCACAGAAGCCGAACGACTTCTCAGCGTATATGCTGAGGGATTCTCCAATACATAGAAGTTGGAGACATATTATTCTTGGTAAGTTTCTGTTCTGTAAATGACTTAGAATGATGCGTTAGTTGAGATGTTGTGGCGGGCGCTGACGAGATGTTCAATTACAGAGTTTCTGACTGAATCAGTACCACCTCTTTGTCACCACTCTGGGTAGTGTTCTGAAACGATACTCATGGAACAACTTTTATGACTACCTCGATAGGAGCAGATGAACCGATATACGCAGGTTGAACTGGTCATATGTGGTAAGTTTATCCCAAAGATGGCTTAAAAGCAATCGGATATTCTGATAGTATCAATCTTATAGGTTTATGATGGGAATTTTTGAAATTTACATTATTCGAGGTGAAATTCCACGACACGTTTCCTTGGAAACCGAAATTATTCAGGTCACAATATCTAATTCCGTAGGCTACTGATTGATTTGTGTCATGAGTAGTTGTAACGTGAAGTCAGTTGGTGGATGGTGAGATCAAGCACTTTGGTCCAATCAATTAACGTTGCACAAGAGGTGGCTCTATTTTCCCAAGGGGTTTAGTGGATAACCCTTTGGAGTTTAAAACTATGGGCACTGGGTTCGAGCCCCACCCACTGGTGGATGCAGGTACATCCAGCCTAGACAAGTCCCAAATAAGATGAAATGCGCGTTATCCTGTATCCCACTGCTAGTCACCATCTCCTCAATACACTGGAATCCATCTTCTTAAGGTGAAAATGCTTCCATCATCTATGAAAATAAATCAACCAATATTCATATTACTTTGAAGTGCTGATTGATGAGATTTATCTCCACCCCCACACACTCACTCATACACAATTTGTTTTTTTGTTTTCCCAAAAAATATCAAATTAAAACTGTAGACATCAGAAAACAATTTCTATGCACTACTGAATTTTTTGAGCAAATTCCCAGAATATGAAAAACGTGATTTCTACATAACTGGTGAAAGTTATGCTGGTGTCTATGTGCCTACACTGGCTCTCCGAGTTATTAATTCAAATAAATTTAACTTGAAAGTAAGTCAGCTGAGTCCTCTTTTTTCATAAAATTTATTATTTTTTTCTTGATTATCTTGTGTAGTTTTCAATGAAATGATAACTTGATTAACTGTTGATTTGAGTAATTGGATCAATAGGCCACTAGACTGGTTATCTGGAGACTGTTACAATGAATTCCTCTGTGAATCATACTGCAAACTAGATTTAAACCATCACTAATTAAATCTTCTGCCTTCCTTACCTTCAGAGTGAAACATAGAGCTTCAAACGCTTTTCCTGAATTCGCATTAGCAATGGCTGTGTTGTTATAGGGTGAGGTAGTTAGCGGGCGACACGCCTAACTTACCTTGCGTTTCTGAGGATTACTATCAGTTAGGATACTAGCCGAGAGGTTCAGGAGTGCATTAATTGAGAATCAAACCCAGACTATGGATGTGGTTGTTAATTGCATAATGGTCACTTTTTTAACTTTTTTTATTTCTTTACGTTCCTAGTGGAACATAGGGGGCCTCAAGCTAGAGCCAGCTTGAAGTTTCTGTAGCAGTGGTGTTTACTTTTACAGGGTAGGGTTGCTAGCCACCTTATGCCCAACCTTCCCTCTTTACTAGTCTTATTACTAGCTTAGAGAGGTAAAGGAGTGAATCGGTTAGGGCCACATGAGGCGTGGTAGGCGAGCATTTTACCGCTGTGCCACCGATGCATTGATTGCATAGTCATTGATAAACAGTTTGATCAGTTAACATTTTCATTAAAAGACAGAAGTAATTCGATCAAAAATGCTTTCAAACTTGTTTATGTCAAATGATGGATCTCCCCTCCCAACCCCCTCCTCCGGGTTCACACAACTTGACACTCACTTGAAGTCAAAAGACTGTGTTTTACTTTTGTATGTATTATTTAATTGAATTTTAGATTTTCCCGTCGATTGATTGATTGAACCGAAGTGCTCGGTCTCAGGTTGACATGTCTGTCGGCTTCTTGTGCAGATGCTTCGGCGATGTCTGGGAATTTAATTAGAATTTTTAATTGGTGGATGGTGACTAGCAGTGTGGAATCCAGGATGCTTCGGTGGGAACATCATCACTCACTGCGGAATGCAGGTACATCCACTGGCTGACGAGTCCCAAATAGGACGAAATGCGCACTATCCTGGATTCCACTGCTAGTCACCATCCACCAGTTCAGTTATAATTTATTAGTCATGTTAATTATGTATATTACTCGGCGTAATTTTTCAGTGTGTGTGAATAGTAGCCGAGTGATCAATCTTACATTTTCATGTGCGGAGGTATCAGTAGAACAAACCAAAATCCAGTATTAACTGAGTCATAACCCCCTCCGTTGTTTGACTTGATATATATATATATATACATGCGTATACTAAATGAGTGACTTTCAGCGTAGGACTGTGCACAGGAGTGTAGTAGTTCAAGTTGCCAAACTACACTTAGCCCATGAAGGTACTGAACCAAATCTCAGATGAAATATAATGAACGGAAGTGCACTAAAAAGAGAATAGTAATATAGGAGAACAATGACGATTTAATAGAGATCTAGGAGATTACGACAAAGCGTGAATGCATCTACACCAGTGAAAAGATTTTCAGTCACATCACCAACTGTTTGAAGCCAATGGTTTTTTTAGCATCCTGACAACTCCAACCAGACAGTTCACACTTTCTTATGTGGCTGGGCTCCAGCTAACAGTCTAATGCTCCATGGATTAATTACATAAATATTCACAAAAAACAAATCACTAATTAGTGATTATTTGAGGAAAGACGAAACAATGAACAAAGAAAATATTCTTTTCAGTAGCTTATTCATCAGAATCTACAGTTATACATCCATGACAGACAGCATTAATGAATTTTTTTTTATAGAACACTGAGTTATGAAGGATTTCAATTGATTACAGTTGAAAAGCATCTGTAAATATCGGATTAATTAAGAGAAATAATACTGGATTTATGAATTTACATAGATTCCACAGTACGCCAGGTTAGTGACAGTCACGCGACCTGTTTCTTTTGTATGCAAACTCCTGATTGTTTTAGGAGAAGTGAAATGGCCCAGCTATTTGGAGTATGCAGTATCTAGAGAACTTCGACAGTTTATTCTGGTTTGTAACCTGCTTGGACTAGATGTGCTAATATCGAACTGTTATTGGTTTTTACTAGTGTCGGTGGCTCAGTGATAAAACGCTTGCAGCCCCCGCATGTGGCCAACACACTCCTAAATCTCTCTAAGGTGGCTGTCGGGCAGGTTAAGTTAGAAGGTTGAGCGTGAAGCTAGCAACTCAACCCCGTAAAAATAAAAAAACCACTGTTACGAAAACTTCAAAGTTTTATCTTAAAGCTCTATGTCCCTTTCGGAACGTAAAGGAATAAAATGAAATAATAAATGGTTTCTACTACACCTTTTCTCAACCAGTCTGGTAATTCTTCCCGAGTAGGAAAATTCCAAGTCCCTAGAGCAACGACAGAATAAAGTGGCTCCACAGCAGCAGTTGGATTGACAGATGCAAGAAGATGGCTTATGCCAAAAAAGGATGAGTCGAAATTTACTGGTTTTAAAAGTTTTTCGAATTCTCATTCTTTGTTTTGTTATTAAATTTACTTAATATGTCACCTGTGAATTGTAATAGCACATAGAGAAGCTTCATGTTTACAGAGAGAGAAAATTTCTGCTCGTCTTTCTTATTTAGACATATGTTTCCTTCGAAACTTCTGTGGATAGCTATTCACAATTAAGGTGTCACATACTGTCATAACTTCACCTTCAGTCGCGTCTTCCAGGTATATAGCTCAAACCTTGTAGCTAAGTGTCTTCATAAAAGGATAGGTTGAAACAAACAACTTGTGACTAATGGAAAATCTTCATTTATGATTGCTTATAGCAGACATTTGTATTGCTCGTTAGCATTTCGGATGTGTTTGTAAGGAGCTATATGACAGTGCTTGTTTGACTGAATCAGAAGTCGGCATTTCAAATTCGTGTGTAACGATAAAATCTGATTCTTTCTAGAAATTGCTGCCTTTTTAATGTGATGTTGGTTCAGCCTAAGTTACTCCTTGCTGATCGAGATAAAGAAAAGTAAGGATATAACAAATAATGAAGGGAGGGATGAGCTGCCCCGGTCTGAAGCAACCAAAGTTGTATTGGAGAGGTAGAGCATTTCTTGGATCTAACCTCAACAGACAGATATTTTCAAGTGTTGGCTATCAGAGATTTGATTGATTCCAATTACAATCACAAAGTGACTTTATTTGGAGAACCACTTAAAACCAAGGAATATTGGATAACTGTTTCGTTGTGGTCAGGAACTCTGCTGCAGCATGTTCTTATGACCCCGCCGGGAATCGAACGGTTTGTACGACCTTCGGGTTAAAAGGTGAACTTGTATGTCATTCACTTGGTGGTACAATAGGCAGATCTCATGACCCATCAGTTCAAACTTCTGCCAGTTCGCGTTACAGTGCGACCGCCAGACGACAATTTCATCGCCAAGGATTTGTCCACAGGTCCAACTACATGAACCTCACTTATCATACATTCTCAGGCAACTTGATACTAGAAGTCAGTCACTACTGAGCACTAGACTGATTTCCAAGTGTTGATTTTCAGGGATCTAAATGTAAGTTGAAGGTTCTTGGTTCGATCGCCAACAATAGAGTCATGCGTGTGTACTGTGAAGAGTCCCAAACTAGGACGAAACACTTCTCCAGTATTTCGTAGTCTTTGATAGTTCACTAACTGAAGTCGATTTATGATCTAAGATAGAGACAGATACCTTCCAGTTGCCTTTTTCATTTGTATCTTACCGAGTACTTTGAATAAAGCAAAAACTACCTAAAACTTTTATTTACAAAAATTATCATCCCTTGAAATTTGTAACTAAGCCTCTTCAGAATGAGGAACCTCTGTAATTCCCGTTCTATATATTTAATGACAATTACTACAGGAACCAAGTGGATTTATACTGTTCAATAGTTGCTCAATAAAATGTACTTCAATTCTATCCCTAATAGTAGATGGTACTTTAGTATCAATGATTCAGTGATAGAATGTTAACCAGCCACCCTCGTGGTCTGGGTTCGATTCCCGCATAATATACACCTAAACTTCACTTGACAAAGGAGGGAGGTTTAACTTGAGGCCAGAAAATCCAGGCTTGCTACTGAAACTTTAGAGTCCAAACCATTGAAGCCCTAAGCCCTATTGGTAACACAAAGAAATGAAACATTATATAAACAAAACATTTCCTGTGTTTTCTTTCATTTTTTTCCATAGGGGATTGCAGTAGGTAACGGATATACTCATGATGAATTTTTGGACAATTCTGCTTTATACTTTGCTTATTATCATGGACTTGTAGATGAAGAGTAAGTTGAATTTCTGTGTATAACCGATGCGTTACAGTGTTATTATTATTATTCATTTCCTCAGTTCCAACAGAAAAATATAGACCATTAGCAGCACATCTTCATTACATTCAGTTATCTACCATCACTTTTAATCAGCTCCATGACTACCCGTCAGCTTCTGATTTCCTCTTAGCATAATCTCTTTCGAATGTCATCTTCGGATGCCTGATCTGTCCCTTCCTATTCATGATCCTTTCAGCGGCTTGGCGTGAGATCATTCTTGAAGGTTTCCTAGGAGAAAAAAAGGAATTTCCAATCTGTCTCCATTCTGTCCTGCATATAAGTTGCATAATAAATAGGCATTTGAATGATTCACCGCTAGAGTTACGTTTTTATTTTTAATTATCTTTTTCGGCCTTATTATCTCCAGTATTGAAAAAGGGCTACTGTTGGCGAATGTCTACAGTGACATAGTGACATCCATTTTGTGATAACTCATGAGGTTGGCGAATCAAATAGCGGGTAAATAAAAGAAAAGAATTAGGGATTTAGAAGAATGTCGAGTGTTGGTAAGAGAAACAATGGGAAACCGGTATTGCAGTACTGGAAAGCAAGCTGTTCCGTCAGCCTAGTTTGGGACTCTTCAGTAGTACGCACCCACCGCCAGAGTTTGAATTTAGGACTTTCCAGTAACAAGACAGGCTCCTAGATCCTATTCAATGGCCCATGAATTCTAACTTCTGCCGGTTCGTGATATATATATATTTATACATAAGGCATCAGCAACACACTTCCACTTTCTTCTATTTTCTGCCGTCCCTCATCTCCTTCTCGCCACACGATCTCCACCATGTCACCCTCCCACTGGCGACCCACTCGTCGCTTCTGATTTGGATCTCACTCGAGAGATGGCCTGCATTGAGCGCGATGTCATTTGGCTGTCTCCTCAATGTATATTCCATCCATCTCCACTTTCTGCTGTATATTTGATGAGCGATCGGCTCTCGCCTGTTGGTTTGCTCCCACAGTTTCTTGTTACTTATTCTTTCTGGCCGGCCGGCCACTTGATCTTCAGTATGGAGTCAGCCAGCGAAGGTGGCAGCTGTCCATGAAAGTCTGCAACCTGCTGGAAATCCTTTTTGCGACACGCCGGTCAAGTTTCTGAGCAGTATAGAAGCAGTGACCGACTTCACATTGGTGTTGAAAATCCGAATGTTGTTCCTTATACTGCGGATTGCAGCAGAATATTTCCAAACTGGTTTCAAGTTGATGAAGGTGTATGTTGCTTGTCTTTCCGATTCTGACTGGCTTTGACATCTTTATCCGTTCCGACTGTCTGTGGTTGAAACAATGCTTCCTAGCCGTATAAGTGTAGGAGGCAACCTCTGTTAAATCTCTCCCTTTGATGATGATTGGTGCTGGCTGTTGTTGTTATTGTTGGTGGTGGTGCGGTTCATTGGTTATCTTTATCACCTCCATCTTCTCTGTGTTCACCTGCAGAGTGCTGTGCATTTGCTCTTTATTAACTCCCAAATGCATAAAATCTTCATTATTCCCTCGTAAATTTTAATTTATTGTAGTTTCTACGCATTTCTGTTTTTCCTCTTTATACCTTTTATATGCATGCTTTCATGAGGTTTGTCAACTTGAAATGATGTAGCACTTTGGTGCACTCTTCTATATTGAAAATTTCATTTTGATTCAGTTGATTTAGTGGTGCTATAGAGTTGTCAAAAGTGATTGACTGATATAGATAGGTGATCCTTATTTTGTTGATCACGCTTTCGAATACCTGTTCACCAACTATAGATCCAGATGGTGGTATTTGTCAGCTTATTTCATCTCTACTGTATAGATGTGATACCGGACTACTGATCAAAGGAAGTGTGCACTGTGTATTAGTTCTCAGTATCCTCCTTCAGGGCTGTGAGACATGGCTACTGAAAGTGGAGGATATGAAAAAGCCAGTTAGTTATCTCTTGATCATAGGTGTCTGCCTTCTATCTCCCGTGTTAAGTGATATAGTAGGGTGAGTAATATTGAGCTTAGGCGTCGAGTGTTAGGTATGGATGACAAGTCAATAGATGCATGCGTGAAGCTACGTTGACTGGAATGTCTGAGACATGTGTTACACACACACGTCTAGCCGTCACTTTCCTTGACGAGCGGCGTTAGCTTACACAGGAACAGGTTGGAAAAGAGATAGTAATGGTGTCGGTGGTCAAACCAAAACCTGGCATCAGTTCATGGAATCTCTGATGGTTTGAGTCACGTAGGAAGATGTAGGTTACCTGGTTGATGTTCCCAGGATTCTAAGAACCAGTGGCTGGAGGCAACTGATACTATGGTTGAAAATCGTTCTCAACTGCTGGCAAAGATGCATTCACTCTTTATGCTCGCTTTCATCTACTGAACTGTCATGCTTTTCAATGTTACTATTCTTTCTCCCTCACAATTATGCTTAGTACTGTTCCTCTGAATCACTTTTCGCTCTTTTTTTGTCTTCCGGTGTATGTGTATGTGATAAATAGAGTGTGGCAACTTGAATTGCTGCTGCATTTCTATGCAAAGTTCTATGCTGAAACCAGCTAACTAGTAGTACTGTGTTGAGAGCTATCTGCAAGCCAAAATTGTAAGCAACGATTGACATCAATGCTTACGTAAGGAAAGAAAATAAGAACAAGGCCTAACCTTGAACAACTCAACAACCAATCATAGCAGATTTAACGTGGGCAGATACGATTCGAAGACCGGACTGTCTAAGGAACGGTCATAAAGAGATGACAGAATAACCTTCAAACAGGAAAACAACCAATCAGAAAACGTTGCTTCTCTGCTAACAATAACGCGAATAATAATGTACATAAAAATCTATAAATATCTCTTGATTTTCTCAATAAACGATCTGTTGCCTGGCCCTTGTCTTCTGTGGTCATAGTATCTGGTTTTTAGTGGTTGTCTAATTGAAGTCATTTAACTATCTAACTTAAATTCATATTATTATTGCCATTATTATTATTATTCTATATTTTAGCCAATGGAATACCCTATTGACACAATGTTGTCAAGTTGGATATCCTACTAAATGTCTATTTACTAGAAACGCTACAGACTTTTGTGATGCTATTGTAAGTATTTCATTTTGTATTCATCCACTGAAATTGTTATTTGTGTTGTTTCTTCCCTTGGGTTCCGAGTGGAACATAGAGCTCCACTTTGTTCTGTTTTCTGCTGTTCTCTTCAGCCGGTTGGTACCACGATCTCCTCTATGTCACCCTCGAATGACCCACTCATCGTTTCCCTCTGAGTTCGAGTCGAGGGCTTGGTATGAGATACCACCCAACTGTCTACTAAGCTTGTGTCGGATCAAACTCTATTTTCTTCAGCAAATTAGTTTAACAATAGGTTTTTGGTCAGTTTGTTCTCATAGCTTCATGATCTTCAATCCTACTATCTCCAATGATTTTCCTGATTTCGGTAGACTGGATAATGCGACAGACAGCGGCAGGCAGCGAGGAAACAGGCATAAAATGGACCAGAGAAGATAAGACTTCAGGTGAAGATAGAGAAAACAGAAGTAGGTGATGAAGATTCCTGGCCAACAGCAACAGCAACAACAACAGACAACGATAAGAATAAATGAGAGGAATCAGAAAGAAGCAACCTCCTTCACTTACCTACCTACCTGGGAAGCATCGTTTCATCTACAGGCGGACGGAACTGAGGATATGACAGCATGGATCAGGAAAGCAAGGCAAGCTTATATTAATCTGAAGTCTGTGTGGAGATCAACAGCACTTCTCAGCATGAAAAATAAGATCCGGATTCTCAGATCCAATGTGAACTTAGTGCTACCTACCATACATACGGATTAGAGACTTAGTGAGTCACGAAGGGAGCATTTCGAACAAACTACACACCTTCACCAACAGCTGTCTTCGCTCAATACTACTCAAGATCAGATGGCTGGCCAGAAACGATCAGCAACAGGGATCTCTGGGAACGAACCAACCAGGCACCGATTGTGCAACAAATAAGCAAGAAGAAATGCAGGCCAATTGGCCATACTCTTAGAAAACTACCAAGTGACATCACACGCCAGGCCATCACTCGAGTGGAACCCGAACGGGACATGGCAAGTTGGTCTTCTAAGAGTGACATGGAGGAGGTCATGTGAAGAGGAGATGGAGGCATGTGGGCAGACGTGGAGCTAGGTGAAAACGTTGGTAGAGAACGGAACGCAATGGAGATGTGCGACTGAAGCCCTATGTTCCTCTATGAACTAAAGGAAACAATAATAATTTGATCTTCAATATCGAGCGAACGTAGCTGGCAATAAAAATCTGTAACTTCTTGAAAATCCTTTTCGTGACACGTAGTGCAAGTTTCTGACCCTTATAGAGGCAGTGACTGACTTCATATTTGTGTTAAAAGTTTGAATCTTGTTCTTCATGCTGCGGAGTGGGGAAGACTTCTAAACCGATTTTAGAGTGATTTAGGTATACCTTGGCTTTCCGATTCTGGTTCCGACATCTTCATCCGTGCCGACTGCCTGTAGTCCAAACAATCCTTTCTAGAAAAGTAAAGGAAGTGACCTCTTCCAAATTTCTCCCGTTGGTGGTGACTGGTGCCGGTTATGGTTGTTATTGGTTAGTTAGTTGGTTACCTTCATCAACTCCGTCTTCTGTGTGTTCACCTGAAATCCTGTCTCCACCAGCTACTTCTAATAATAGTGGTAATAACAGCAATAGATAAAACATTATTATATTATGATAATTTCCTTGGGTTCTGAGCGGAATGTGGAACTTTACTAGTACATTGAATGTCTCCATAGAATGTTTGAAGTTGGAAGAAAGGCTGATCAAACTGCGAGAGAAATGAGATGTGAGATAGAAGTATCTGGAATCTGTGTGAACGGATATAATGAAAGTAACTGGAGAGTCTATAATCTCAGCTTCAGCCACCCAGACCACAATCATGAACACACTGAGGAAGTGTCTGTCGTGATTTCGCGATTAATATGGAAGGGTCTTATGCAGCGAGAACTAGTCCCCTCGTACAATAACACATTAATTATATTTTATTATTAGATGGTTGGAGACAATCGGCTGCAGGAAGCCTTGCCTGACATAGGTTTCGTGCTAGTTGGCGCTCGTCAGCAAGGCGTATCTGCGACTAGTTTGAAGGAACTCATGTCCTTTCTGAGATTCGAACCCACGTCACCCAGTGCTGCAGTCAGAGACGTTACCACTAAGATATTCGGGCTCGCGATTGACCTCCTGTAGAACTGTAGTGGACACTATTAACGTCTATGACTGCGGCACAGTGTGACACGGGTTCGATTCTCAGAAGGGACATCAGTTCCTTCAAGGTAGTTGCAGATACGCTTTGCCGACTGATGAATGCCAACTAGCACGAAACCTAAGTCCGAGGCTTCCTGCTGATTGCCTCCAACCATCTAATATCATCAAATCAATGTGCACCGTGATGGCGAGCTACGTAGAATGGTGGCCACATTGCAAACTTGACTGACTGATAGAATTCAATCTGCACCAAAGAAAGGACGAGACACATCACACTAGTTACTGACTAGTGTCCAATCAAACTATATTTGATTATTATTACCACTGTTTTTCAAATGGAATATAGGGTTTCAGTACCACACTCCCATTTCACCCAGTCCTCTAGAGTCATCTTTAGCTGGACGATTATACATAAGTGTTCATCCCCTTATACAACCTTCCCTGAGTCAATCACAACTTGAGGGTTTAACTGAGGCGTGATTTCACTCAGAGTTCTACTCAGTTTGTGTGCAGTCCATCATCACTTTTTTATGCACATTTGTTGTGCGATAGAATCTTGGTTAATTCACCGCGTTGCCATAGTTCCTTGTTCCTTATCCACTCCGGGCGGCCATATCATCTTCATTATTGACATTGGTGTGGTAAATCTGCTAACTGTAGTAGACACTGGTTTCAGTATAATGCATGTCTGTGTTGCTTTTCCGATCCGACCCAATCCTGACTGCGGTTGACATCCTTATCCGTACCCAATCCGCCTCCCTCCTATAGATGAACCCCTGTTGCGCAGACAGATAAGTGAAAGAGGTAACGTCAATAAATGCATTAATTAAACTTGTCACCTTTTCAAGAAACTAACACATCTTATCTGGTGCTGATTTTCTCCATTTCCTAGATTGGTGAAATAGCCGGCAGTGTAATGACTGAAATGAATATTTACAATATTTATTCTGAATGTGAAGGTGGCATTACTCCACATCATCCAGCTTCTATGAATAAACACAGTGATTTTGGTAATTTATTCCGTGAGAATAAATATATGCAAAAACATCGTCAATCGTTGTGAGTACAAATCAAATTTATCCTTAAAAAATTTGTTTTCAAGTATTGGTTTTGTAGGGATTTTGTTTGATTGCATAGAGGATTTCATCATGAGCTGACATCAGTTAGAGAACCACTGGAAAACCTGCCAGGGAGTACTGGACAGCTGTTTCGTCAGCTTAGTTTGGGACTCTTCATCAGTACGCACACAGTGGCTCAATGGTCTACGAGCTCGCCTTGTAACCAGAAGGTCCTGGGTTCGAATCCCGGTGAGTGCGTACTGCTGAAGGGTCCAAAACTAGGACGAAACAGCTGTCGAGTACTCCCAGGTTGTCCAGTGGTTCTCTAACTGATGTCAGCTCATGATGAAATCTGCCATGCAATAAAAATTTGTTGTTGAAATAACTCATTTTTTCACACCTAATTAAAGTTTTTGTTGGTGTTTGAAACAAAAATGGTGTTGTTGAGTTTTTAAATTTCATTAGGGAACACAATATCACTCATTCGAATGGAGGTATGTCAAGCTGACAGGTCGAAGTGGACGGATATATATTGTATGTCTCCCTTGTAGATTTCATTGAGCCGCTATTCGTCAAATGACTTAATATCAAATTCTGTGTCAAGGCGAGATTCTTTGTTAAACTAAATCATTTCTTGAAAACATTTATTTCCCGATACGAATTTAAAACAAGCAATAAAGGGGTTAATAAAACAGAATTTAATGAATTCATCAAATTTCGGTAGAACTCGTCAGCTGCTGAATACTCTACGTACACGGATGTATATACTGTTGAAATTACATTGGGAGATATAAGACTGATAAGCAAATAAACTACATTGAATTAGTCATGCAGGAAGACAGGTGCGAATGTTTTACAGGTCATGTTCAAATAGATAAGGGGGTAAAGGGAGTATGAGAGATCAAAATTAAGATAAATTGCATTACGCTTCAATTACATCACTTAGATAAACAATTAGACATTAGAGAATATAACAAGAATTGCAAACAGATTAATATCAATAATAATAGTTATAATAACAATAATAATAATAGTGTTGAAGTGAGTTAAGAGAATCCTACTGATAAAGGATAGTCTTAAATGAATCAAGAATAACTATAATAATAAGAGGTAGAATAATAAGTAGAACGTATTACCATGGTAGATTCAGAGTCACGACCATCTCCTATTGTACACAGAGACCTGGTTTATAAACTCGAATTGCACAAGCCTCCACAATTGCAAGCATCTTCTTGTTTCTTTGTCTGCTGACAATAGCAGTGCATGACTTGACTGCGTCGATAACATGTCCGTAATTCACAAGATGTTGAAGATTTCGGTAAAGTGCCAATGTAATTTCAAAAGTATATATATCCGTGTATGTAGAGTGATATTCAGCTGACGAGTTCTACTGAAATTCGATGAATTCATTAAATCCTGCTTTATTAACACCACCTTTTGTTGCTTGTTTTAAATCATTTCTTGATTTACCAAAATACTTACAGAGGAACAGATCCAGGATGATTTCATTTTGAGGTTTCATGCCCCGACTCCACTTACGTAATGATGTGTTGAATATATCTTTTCTTTAAAAGTGTTGGTTTGCATGGATTTGATCTTTGATAAATTGGATCAAAAACTGGCATCAATTGGAAAACCATTGAAAATCAGGGAATATAGTGAACAGCTGCTTCATCCTTGCCGGGACTCTTCAGGATTACACACCCGTGTAACCAGGACCTTCTGGCGATATGTCTTACAAGTGGAAACCATTCTCATTGGTGAGTATTTGTTCCTACATCCGACCTGGTGGATCTCACTGATCACGACTTCTCACTAGAATTACAGACAGTTAGTTACTAATGAGCACCAATGACTGAATTGGCCAACGAACTCGCCTGTAAGCTGACGGTTTAGGTGTCAAGCTCAGTGATGATGTGATGGGTGAACTAAACTGCTGAAAATTCCCAAAAATGAATGAGACAAGTATCCAGCACTTGTGGACTTGTGGATGTGCAATAGTTCTGTGAATGATGTTAATCCCTTCGTGATCAGTCTTGAAGAAAAATATTGGCCGATGACATTAGCTAGTGGTCGCACTATATCGTGAATTGGTAGAAGTTGGAGTTCATGAGCTGGCCATTGAGTCGGGCCCCAGTAGCTCAGTGGTCTACGAACTAGCTCACCCTGTAACCGGGAGTTCCTGGGTTCGAACCCTGAGGCAGCGAGGGCGTATTGCTGAAGAGTCCCAAACTGGGGTGAAACAGATGACTGTCCAGTGTGTGTATTTCTCTAACTGATATCAATCCCTGGTTAATCTCAAAAAGTAATTATTTCTTTGTTTTGTTCACCTTTTTACTCACTTGTATTACATAATCACCATCACCATAATAATAATAATGATAATAATCAGGGAAACAATGAGTGGTAAACTTCAAACTCGACTGACAATCCCTTGTTTAAATGATTCAACAATACGTGAATATTTCAATTCATCAGATGTACGTAAAGCTTTACATGTCAGAGAAGATATACCTGTAGAATGGGATATATGCAGTCAAGAAGTGAATTTTGGTTATACACGTCAATACACTGACTTGTCATCACAGTATACACAACTTTTACAATCTGGTGTAAGTTTACAATGTGTAATTAATAAAAATGCATATATGTCTTTCTGTCTATCTCTCTGCCTGCCTATCTATCTATCTGTTTCTATTTATATATGTGTGTACTTAAGAAACCATAATAAAATAAACAGTTTACACCCTCCTATTTGGCTGTCTAAAGCCAATAGCCAAAGATACCTCGTAGATTGACTTCAAGCTTTGGTTTGATCAGTGCCAATTCTTTCCGCAACCTGATTCGTCGAGGAAGGCGATGACTCAGCCATCGCAGTCATTGTAGTTTCACAAATGCACAGATCGACCTATCCTCAACATAACTGACCATATTATTATACTACCCCTGTGGCTAATTGAAGGCCATTGACTTCATCATATCTGTCGTTTTCAATGATGCCAACTGTTGCGCAGTCAGTACACACTTCATTTGATCGTTAGGTGATATAAACTAGCAAATATTGAATAGACCTTTTACAATTGCCTTATTTGACAGTGTGATGAACACGGTGTGTTAACAGTGAACGACTTTTGATTTGCTTTAGCAAATCACAGTACATATTATACGAAAGACGTTGAAATGGTACAGTTTCTTTTCTCAAAGGGAAATCTTGTCGGCGAAATTAGAAATCATGGAAGTTTAGCCACTTATATTTAACCTGTTGAAGTAAATTGTTCATTGTTCGCTTCGGGTTATTTCAATGGAGATCGATTTCAGCGTATTTGGTCTGATACCAGGTGTTTAGCCTGCACTGGATGGTACTAACTGCAGTAGTAAGTGCTTTGCAAGTATCGTGGAGACAATCTAGAATACAATTATATAAAGGAATGTATGTCAGACACATTTTACCGACTGGAATTGTTAATTTCTACTATGGGATCTTACGTAAGACTATATTTATTATTATTATTCCCTTGGGTTTCGGGTGAAACATAGGGTTTCAACAACACGTCTCTACTTTGTTCTAATCTCTACCATCATCTTCAGCTGCGTTCACGATCACCTATAATCTTTCATCGCCTCCTCGCCACACGATCTCCTCCATGTCACCCTTACACTGACGACCCACTGGTGGCTTCCCATCGGGATTCCACTCGTGTGATGGCCTGCATTGTGCACGATGTCATTCGATGGCCTCCGTTATACTTTTGCATAAACTTGGTTTCACTCTCTGCGTCAAACTAGTGTGCTGAAATAGCTAGCCAGTAATTGGGTTAAGTGAGATAAACATTCATGAGCTTGTTTTCGAGCCAGTGAATAGTTGGCATGCATAATGTTTTTTAGGGTAGATCTTTCCAAACCTTCTCCTTTCGAGAGAACCATTCAAGGTGACCCTAAATTATAGCGGCCCACAACGAAACTACCTAATAAAAACGTTCACAAATCTCTACTACGCTAAATCACGAATTGGTAGGAGTTAGAATTCATGATCCATTGAATCGGGTCCCAGTGGCTGAATGGTATACGAGCTTGCCTTGTAACCGGAAGGTCCTGAATTCGAATCCCAGTGGGTGCGTACTGCCGATGATTCCCAAACTAGGATGAAACAGCTGTCCAGTACTCCCTCCCGCTAGTTTTCAATGGTTCTCTAACTGATATCAATCCGTGATCAACTCGTAAAAATCTCTATCGACCAATCAGATGTTTCGAAAGCAGAAGTGCGTAGTTTGAATACAACGTTTATGTAAAAGTGGTTCTCATTGGAGTCCTTAGAATCAGGTTAAAGCAATTCCTGGACATCTAGTTTCTTGACTTTCATTCACCGCTCTGATTCTCTGTTTTAGGTAATTTTAGAAACTTTCGATGAAATTTGTATGACTTCCATCGAAAAGATTAAAGAAATAGTCCGTATGATTAACCGTGTTGTGAAAATCAAGCAAGGATGACAGTTAGCTACACGTTTTCTTTCCTATCCAATGCGGCTGTTGTCTAAGGAGTATATAAAAACTGGATTTTGATGAAATTGGCCATGTGATCCGTGTGCAGATTTCGTAATTCCTCCCATATATTATGAACTCAAGGTCGTCAGTCCTACCATTAGATAGTTTCGTTTTGGGCTGCTGTAGTTTAGAATTACCCCATTCAAGACCAGTATTGGAACACTGGACACAAATTTCATCCTAATTAGGGAGTCCTCAGCGTTACACATATATGACCCCCACCTTGTGGGACTTGAACCCAAAACCTTCAGGCTACCAGGTGATCCTCGTGGTCATTCTGCTACTGGAATGGAATTCATTGGCGCATAGATTCTAACTTCTGTAATTTTGTGTGTGAGGAGAAATAATCCCCTGTGAAATTGGCTGGCCGAGGTGAGGAGAATTGCTAAAAAGTGACTGAAGTTAGAATTCATGGGATGGCCACTAGATTCCACCCCATTGACTCAATTATCAACGAGATTGTCTTGTTGAAACTGAATGTCCTGGCTCCAACCTTGGTGACTGGAGGTTCATTGGTGAGTACCACTGAGGAGTCCCAACATAAGAGGAACAAACAGCTATCCAGTAGTATTCTCTGGTTTTTAGTGGTTCTTTAACTGATGAACTTAAAGTGATCAGGGCGCTTCCCCTTAAATGACCTCGCAAAGTTTTCCTAACCAAAACGAAACTAATGAAGCCTTCATCAAGAATCAACCTAAGTCTCAAAATGAAAAACAGATTTAACAAAATAAGAATAAACCATTTCATCAGTGGAAAATATCACCCCCCAGCCACCAATTATTATTCTTTTCTTCTTATGCGATAGCAACACAGTTCAGCTGAAACATAAGCGCTTGCTTGTAAAGAGTGTAGAACAGTCACATCAGGTTAACATGCCATGTAAACAGTTCAAAGCAATTCTAACACTCTCTCGACAAGAAAGAATGTTAAGCAGTTTTATATCAAAAATTGCGCTGATCAAATTGCAACTCTACGCAAAGCATAGAATGGCAGTCAAACCTCTCTCTGCCTCAACTTCATAGACTTCAAAAAGGCCTTCGACAGATGGCGCTGACCGAGAAGTAATTTGGAAGCTACTTCAACACTACGGTGGGCAGTGCTCAAGTCTTTATCAACCTCATTCAACGGTTATATGACAGTGGCAAGTGTCGGGTGATCCACAGAGGAAAACTCAACGAGGCGTTGGAAGTGCATATTGGAGTAAGACAAGGATGCCTGTCCATTATCACCAATGATATTATTAATTGTGGTGGACTAGATTATACATCAGACTGTGCATGGGAGTGATAAGACAGGAATACGTTGGATAGATAGATAAGAAGACTCTAGAATATCTGGATTTCACAGATGATGTATGTCTGATGTCACACAAACTCTAAGAATTGCAGGCGAAAACCAACAGACTGGCTGAAGAGGCTGGCAGCGAAAACAGGATTGCAGGTGAACACAGAGAACATGAATGTGATGAAGATAACCAATCACCATCAACGGGAGAGATTTAGCAGAGGTTGCCTCCTTCACTTATCCGACTAGGAAGCACCGCTTCAACTACAGGCGGAACGGATGAAGATGTCAAAGCCAGTCAGAATCGTAAAAAAAAAACACGCCTCCATCAACTTGAAACCAGTTTGGAAATCTTCCTCCCTCAGCATAAGGAACATGGTTCACATTTTCAACACAAATGTCAAGTCGGCCGCTCTATATGGGTCAGAAAGTTGGCCGCCATGTCGCGAAAAGGATTTCCAACAGGCTACTGCAGACTTTTATCAACAACTGCCTTCACTGGCTTCATGCTGAAGATCAAATCGTCAACCGGCCAGAAAGAATTTGCAATAAGAAACTATGGGAACAAACCAACCAAGAACCGATCGCTCAACAAATATGTAGGAGAATATGGAGATGGATGGATCGGGCATACATTGAGGAAACCGTCAAATGACATCGTGCCCAATGAAGGCCATCTCTCGAGGGGAATCCCTATGGGACACAATGAGAGGGTCGTCAGTGTGAGGGTAATATGGAGCAGATCGTGTGAGTTGGAGGAGGACATGAGAGAGTTTGGTCATTCGTAGACCCAGACAGCTGAAGAGGATGGCAGAAAATAGGAGAAATTGGAGATGTGTTGTTGAAGCCAGCGCTATGTTCCACTCCGAACCCAAGGGAACAATAATAATAGTATCAAAAATGACTTTTATGCTAACTTTGTTGCTTGTTTTAAATTAGTACCTATTGGTTGGGAAGTTTTCCGAGGTAGGTATTTACTTATCGTGTCCTACTTTCTATCTCTCTCTCTGTCATCTTTTTCTGAACAACTGGATGCATTTTTATTTACCAATGTGAAAATATGCCTGTTTATGTGTTGTTTTCTTATTCCATAGGTCAATATTTTAATTTACAACGGTGATACTGATATGGCATGTAATTATATAGGTGATGAATGGTTTGTAGATAATTTGAATTTACCGGTAAGTTTTGTGCAGTAATAATAATAACAATAATATAAAAGATATATATTTTTTCACGATATCCCATCAAAACGATAATGTTGTTAATCGTACTATTTCCTTCTGTTTCAACTGTAACATAGAACTTCAACAGTGTACATCTTCACTTCACTCTGTTTTCTGAGAACACACCCCCCTTCGCTTTACATGGCTTAATAACTGCCCGTAAGCTTTCATTTTCGATTCAATGTCAACTTTAGAATTCCAAATTATCGTTCCTTATTTGCATCCCACTCAAAGACCAAGTGATTGATGTCACTCAACATTCTTCACAGAGAATGTCCAACACCTTCTGCATAATTGATACTGAATCCTTTCCTGTCATCTGACCTCCAGTATTGCGTCAGCGAAAGCAGATGTTGATGAAATCCTGTTGAAAATTCTTTTGGTGACATGCTCTCCAAGTCTTTGAACTATATATGTACTTACTAGTGTGGCATCATTAATTAAAGCGTAAATCTTGTTCCTTATGGTTATCAGGAGATACAGTAGATTGCCGCACTGATTTCAGAGTAATGTAGGTCTGTCATGCTTTACAATCTTTTCGTAGACATTTTTAACTGTGCCGCCTCTCTTTGAGATGATGTTGCCTGGTCAAGTGAAACAGGTGACGTTCCTTCGAATTTCTCCTGTTGATGGTAACTAGTGGTCAGTGGGTAACTTCATAAATTTTATCTTCTCTATGCCTGCTTAAAGTCCTATATTCGTTGCTAGCCTCTTCTAAAAACTTTATTAGTTTTCACCTGTAGATCTTCAAGTCTGTTTGACACTAAACAGAAATTCTCCTCAAAGTTCGGATCTTCTAGATTATTTAGGTAATAAATGACTTGTAGATAATTTAAATTTATCGGTTAGTTTAAAACAAGTGATGATCACCATTGTATGAATGATAATTTTTTCTACAATATTTCATTAATACTATATTGACTGCATTGTTACTATTATTATTATGCCCGGTACTGTGAGCTCGTTGGCTAGTGGTCATTGCTATATTGGGAGTTGGCAGAAGTTGGAATTCACGGACTGGCCACTTGATCGGGGGTCCCAGTTGCTTAATGATCTCCGAGCTAGCTTGCCTTACAACCGGAAGTTCTTGGGTTCAAACCCTGGCGGCCGGTGTGTACTGCCGAAGAGTTCCAAACTAGGCTGACAAAACAGCTGACTCTCCAGTACTCCAGTATTGATTTTCCAATGATTCTCTAACCGATATCATCTCATGATGAAATAATCTGATTGGCTGATGATTAGACCAGGACCAAGGCTGGAAAAAAGATGATAAAATTTCACAGTCAGCTAAGGTTGTCCGATCGGTAGATGATTACTATTCTAACCGCTTCCTATCATAAACACCATATAAAAGTGAGTTGAAAATCGATACAGATAAAGAGAAAGCAGGTACAAGAATGTCGTCTTTCAACAGAGAAAAGTCTATTCAGATTTTTAGTTGTGTCGTCGATTCCATGTACTATTATCATTTCGCCCAAGTAGCTAACTAATCCAGTCCGGTTGGTTTGAATTGATTAAACTTACCAGGCGTTGATAAACTCGGCCTCAAACCACTGAAATGATCGTCTTCTGTTACAATCTTTTTGATCTAGAGTTGGCTAGCATAAACATTGCTGGTTTAAAACAGTTAGTTCCCTTTATGAATTTAGACAAAGCAATAAGAAGAGGTATTTTGTCTGAATCGTGTATTGTGTGTATTTGCGCAACACATTTCGAACAATCTGATCACAAATGGGCCTGTCATGGGAATATATATAAAAGAGTTAAGAAGTGAGAAAATAGACACTTAGGTTAAGTTAAAGGCCAAAATAACAATTAAGGTCAATCACTAAACCAAATAACAGAAGTAATAGTACATCTACCCTGACTGGTATCAAAACAAAGTTTCCCAAGAAAGGCGGTCTAGTGTGCTGACAAATTGTTGCTTTGAATGTATAAAGGTTGTTTAAACTTCCTAATTGCCAGCTAGGGCTTCCACAAACTTTAGGATTCGCACCAAACACGTTTTATAAATAGATAGGTTTAAAAGATCTGTTAATGTCAATTTTATGTCCATACTGTACAATATGTTTCTCAACTGAGGAGCTCTAGGTCTCCTGGTCTCACCATTTAGAAATTTGCTCTGAAGCTAGCCCTTACATGCAGAGATCGATGAGTCCTCCCTTCTATGTATGTGTATCCACACGTACATTCAAATTGGTTTATGTGACTGGTATACAACTACTCGCAACAATCAATAAGTAGTATATAGTGTCATAGACAGAACTCAGGTACCTAGGATTCGAACCAGTAGCCTCTGAACCACGAATGTGTTACTGTACCATTTGAGCGATGAGATTCAATGAAAAAATTACTCGGTTTGTAGTCTGGTGTCACTTAGAACTAGCAAGTAAAAGACTATTCTTTCAAATCTTACCACAACCTGGATTCTGATTTTCCTGCCAATCGTCATTTTTGTTTTCTGAATGGAAGATAAGACTCCGAGCTTTAAAATATCAGTAGAGGTGGTGTTCTTTGTTCACGATGGGTTTCGCTAGTCTCATAAAGCTAATATTTCCTCTTTCCCAGGCTTATTATTGGTGAATAAACTAGGCGAGGTTCAGGAATGAGTACTCCACGACCAACATCAGCATGGCTGACGAACATTCTACCCCCTAAAACACTGGAGCACTCTAATTAATTCGACTTGTAATTAATAGTGTTCTCTGAGCTAGTTGGTTTAGTTGCGGAGCTTCCATCTTCCTTCTGGACAACATCCCCTTTCAGCGCTATATTTAGCATAAAGTGAAATGATTTAAATTTTCCATGAGTGATGGGATAGAATTGCGTCTCCCGGTAACCATCTTTACATATGTATTGACCATTTTCTATTGACTTGGATTTTAAACTTTCTGTTCACCTGATTTACTTTTTATCAGTTGCTATATTTGGTCTATATTAACGTGTTTGTTAATTGCATTTTCATTTGAGTACCAGGCTTCTAGGAATTCCCTGGCACTTTTGGTGTTTCCTCTGTCTAAGATTTTGACATTATCCCAATAAAATTGATGTCCATAATTGTCTACAGGCATTGATACTAAAGAATATATATCGTGTCTTTTCACGGTTGATTTATGTTCTTGGATTCTGATTCGAAGGAGACGCCCACTTTGGTCGATGTAATGTCTGTTACAGTTCATGCATGCAATTTATTTTGTGAATGGTATTAATTTGATCTCCTTTTTCTGTTGAATCTTTCGGTTTGCATAATATCGAATTAAGCGATTTGACTGGCTTGTGTGCTATATCTATATCAAACGGTTTCAGTATTCTAGCTGTTATTTCAGAGATATTTCTCATGTATGGTAGAATGAATTTTCTTGTGGTCTTTGATGATGGTTTCTTGTTGGTGTTTTCATTCGACTTTAAACACTTTTTGATGAAATTTTGCGGATAACCATTCTTTTTGAAGACTGTTTGTAGGTATTTTTCTTCCATTCTTTTCAACTCTGGAGTGCTACAGTGTGTTTGAACTCTCTTGTGAACAATGTCTGCACACAGTTTCGTTTGTGAGTAATTGGATTATTGCTAGTACAGCAAAGTAAATCAGGTGACCAGAAAGTTTAAAATCCATTTCAATAGAAAATGGTCAATACTTATGTAAAGATGGTTACCGGGAGACGCAATTCTATCCCATCACTCATGGAAAATTTAAATCATTTCACTTTATGCTAAATATTGCGCTGAAAGGGGATGTTGTCCAGCAGGGGGACGATGAAAGCTCCACAATCAAACCAACCAACTCGGAGAACACTATTAATTGCAAATCATCCACATGAGCTAAAAATGTTCTCTATTATTTCAATTAACTCGACTGATAAATATTTTCACTCGGTCGGTCGGTCGGTTTCCGACATAGAACTTTGCACATATGTGCGTCAGTTCAAGTCGCCACACTCCATGTAGCACACAAAGCAAGAGAAGAAAGTAGGAGAAAGGCATAATATAGACAGTAAACAGAGGTGTGAGACAAAGGAATAGTAATAACGAAGAACAAAACAGTTTCATTGGAAATCATAAGTCACAAAGAGTGGATGCATCTGCGCCAGCCATTGAGAACGGTCACTTTGAGCCATATCACCAACTGTTTCCAACCATTGGTTTTTACCGTCCCGAGGACCCCAACCAGTCAGGAAGTCTACACCTTCCTACGTGGCTTAGACTAACTGTTGTAGATTTCATTGACTGGTGCCATGTTTTGGTTTGACCGCCACTAACTCTTTCCCAGCCTGGCCCTATATCAGCTAACATTGCCCACTGTCGAGGAAGGCGATGACTAGGCATGCACGCGTAACACATGTCCTAACCATCTCAGTCGATGTAATTTCACAGTCTCATCGATTGATTTCCCCTCCTTACCTAGCACTCGCCTGATGCCTAACCTCAATATTGCTCACCTTAATATACCACTTCACACAGGAGATAGAATGCAGACACCTATGATCAAAGACAGTGGGCTAGTTTTTTCATGTCTTCCACTCTCAATGGCCAGGTCTCAATCACAGGCATAAAGAAGGAAGGGGCGGACTGATGAGCAGTACACACTCCCTTTGGTCGATAGTCGGATATCACGTCTACGCCAGAGACGGCGTAAACTGGCATATGCGAAACTAGGCCTCTCTATCGGTGCTGAGGTTTCGTCAGCAATCAACCCGTTGGCGTTGGCTGATGCAACTTCTCAAATAAGTGAAGCGGTCAACGTTCTCTACCACTTCACTTCCTATTTCTAAACTAAGAGTCGGTGTAGTCCAATCCTGCAACATCACCTTACATTTTACAGGGGCGAATCGCATGCCAAACATACGAAGATTGCTGCCCAAGGTTTTCAGAAGACTCTGCATTTTGTCAGCGTCCTCGCCTAGAAGGACTATATCGTTTGCATATTCTAAGTCAACGAGATTATCCCTGGTAGCAAGTCAATCCCTGAGTCGCTGAAGTGAGTTAGGGTTAAGTCCATTAGTACATCTATGATGAAATTGAATAGGAATGGGGATAATGGGCATCCTTGGCGGACGCCACTAGTTGTCACCACTTCAGATGACAACTCGCCGTAAGCCCTCACCTGGCTGATGGCATGAGTACGAGTAGAGTTCCTTAATCAGTGCAATGTATTTTCTCGGCATTCCCTTTACAGCCAAGCATCTCCAGAAAACCTCTCGGTCGACAGAATCGAATTCCGCCTTTAGGTCAAGAAATATAACGGTTGTTGGACGCCGGTAAGAATGCCTATGTTCTAGAATCTGTCGAAGGGTGAAGATATGATCAATGCACCCTCTTCCTGGCCTAAAACCTGCCTGGTTTTCTCGTGTTTCACTTACAAATATTTTCTTCCTTCATATTTCTTTCTTTGTCTTTTCACTTCCCCACAAATCAATCAATAAACAGGTGGAAATGAATCGTACATCTTGGTACTATACAGAAGCTGATGGCACACAACAAGTTGGTGGTTATTGGAAAGGCTATAAACTGAACAAGTCACTTTTAGTCTATACAACAATCCATGGAGCTGGACATATGGTTCCACAAGATAAACCAGTTGCTGCTTATACTATGATGTCAATCTTTGTTCAAGCCGATTAAAAACCTTCTATTAATTTTTTGCTAATATCGGGTATCTTGTTTCCCCCTCCCCCCGCGTTCAACCTCTTTTTTTCTTGAATAAAAGATAATTTTTTTACTATAAAATAATTCAGTGATTGTTTTTTATTTCCAAAAATAATTCTTGTTCAATTTTGTGCATGGGAGAAAGAGAGGGAAAGAAAGAGCTGTGATAAACGCGAGAATTCGAGATCTATTTAGGCGATGCAGAAAGATATTTGAAATGAAATAGGGGAAAAGTTTCGAGAAATATCCAGCGTTAATCGATAAAGTTCACCTGTGAATATGCAACTGGCATGGATGAACCAATGGCTTTGGGAGAAGTAATTTCGTTGAAAAAGTAAATTTGATCCCTTCATCCTAGTCTTGCCTTAACGCTAACCATAAAATACACAGAAAAACAAAATCTCCATGTTTAAATAACATCGAATCAATAATATTGATAGATCACAGTTCAATAGCATCAACATAAAAATAAACTGAATGTCAGACAAATTAGGTAAGATAATAATACAAATTCATGAATTTATAGTCTCCGCTGAAGGCCAGGGCAGTAGTAGTGGCTGAACTTGCTTCTGTTCTGTACTGTTTGTTTCAAGCGAATTGCGATAGCCTCTGTTGTTTGGAGCAAGCGGTGCTTCGATGCTTTTGGTAATTTATTTGGCACCCGGTAGATGATTGTGGAGAAGGATTCTTCAGTGTTGGCTTTGTGGCCCACCGGTTTGGACCAGATGGTCTAACATCGAACTGTTGATGGTTTTCACTACACCTTTACTTAGCCATAATGTTCTCGAGCAGGAAAAATCAATTCTCTATAGCAACGGTCGATATAACTCGCTCCCCAGGCGCAGTTGAATTGGTAAATACAATTAGAAGTGGCTAGTCTAGGTACTTCATCTTTCAGTTGAGACAGCACCATCGGTCGTGTAGAGAATAAGACGTGTAGTTCGCCAGCATTAAAAGTTCTTTGAACTGATTTTCTTAATTTCTTCGTAATTATTTCATTTGGTATATCGCTCCTGAATTACAGTCGTATATATAAAGAGGCTTCTTGTTTACGGATAGTGAGTAGTCCTTTTCAATTAGATCCTCATCTCTGCCTGGCTCTACTCTATTATACTGTTTATAATATTTTTAATACAATACACAACATTTCACCAATCAATTGACGATATGTCTGTTAACAACAATGAGTCAGTATGAACATATCAAGGCGCGGGTGATAATTAACAGGGAAATTTAATATACACAATTAAAGGGTAAAAATGGTTACAACAATTGGAAAAAGTGAAGATGAGTAATTAAAGAGTAAGCAGCTGTTCAAGTTGATTACGTAACAGATTATCAAAGGAAATTAGAACGATTTCGACAATGATAAAAGATGAAAGGTAGTTATAAGAATAAAATAATTTGGATAATTATAATTTTAAAAGGTTTAGAGGGAGAGGGGCAAAGTACTGCAGTTTATACATTCATATAACGATGACCAAGGCAAGGAAAGTGGCTATATGAATTTTTTCTGAACAGACAGGTTTGGATTCATCAAATGGATACCGATGGCTTCATTCAGCTGTATGTAGAAGGCAAAATTAAGATTAGTGGGAGTGCGATAAATAATTTTAAATGTTATATTAGCGTCAACCTTATGCTCACGAATCAATTTGTAAGTTGCGGCTAGTGATCATTAGAATAGCCTAATGTTGTTACTTCATATGACTGTGTTACACACCTTGTGGGTAATTCAATCGTAATCTGAACAAGAAGTGACAAGTTAGACAACCATGGGTGTCACGGAGAAGATCCTTTAAGAGATGGAGAAATAAAGTCTTGTAGGCAGTCGTGACACAACCAGGCAGAAGAGATGGAATTGGACTAAGTACAATTGAAATGTGCAGTTGACTTTTGATATTCCACACAGAACGAAAGCAATGAGTACTAATAATGCTGATAAGAATATTAAAGTCTCCGCCTATGGTAGATCCCAAAATAAAACAGAATGTAATGCGAATTTCGTCCAAGGCGTTCAAAAGATTCTGTAATTAAACAGCACTTCTACTTAAAAGTAAACAATGTCAGCGTATATATACATTACACTGTGTAGTCATACTAGTGAAACTAAGCAAGCCTCATGAGCACCTGTTGTTACAATGTTTACAACGACAGCTGTCGATATCTTCTTGGATAAAAATGTTATTCGGTTAGTGCTAGTTAACAGTGGAATCCTGGAATATACGTTTAGTCCAACCCACGACTCGTCAGCTGGCTGTACCGTTATCATCTAATCAATGTATAGGTGATGATGTTCCCACTGAGATCGAGACCCAGAATCCATCGTTCCAAATGTCAAGGACGTCCATTCAGTAGAGTTAAGATAAAAATGATCCACTTAAGCGTAGTTGCTTTGAAATCTTTACCAATATGAAGCCTAATAAGCCGTAATGCTGAAGTCAACAAACTTATTTGTGTACTGCTGAGATAATCTCTTTTCCATTCTGAGAGGATTATGAGGATTTAAGCTATTTTGGAAGATTTATTAGTAGTGGTGTCATTGTTTTACGGGGTGAAGTTGACAGCATTATATGCCCAGCCTTCTCTCTTTTCCAGGACGCTTACCATCGGCTGTAAACTATAGTTGAGATTTAGAAGTTTGTCGGTTGAGAATCGAAGCATTGCTGGTGGACATCCTACTGCCGGACGAATCACTAAAGTTTCTTTTGATTAGGATAGATGATACGACTCAATGTTTCACCTCTAACCACTAACCAATGTCATCGGTGGGAACTCCATCCTCACACATTACTGAATGGACCTCACTGGTCCCTCACGACTTCTCACTAGAACTCCAGGAAATTCTGTACTGGTGGTTGTGCTAAATGCATCACGAATTGGTAGAAGGTAGAATTCATGAACTCGCCATTGGATCGGGTTGGGTCCCAGTGGTTGAATAGTATACCAGCCAGCTAGCTTGCCTTGTAATCGTAAAGTCCTGGGTTCGAACCTTGGCAGTGGGTGCATACTGCCAATGATTCCCAAACTAGGCTGATGAAACAGCTGTCCAGTACTCCAGTGCTGGTTTTCAATGGTTCTCTAACTGATATAGATCCGCGGTCAAACTCGAGAAACAAATTGATTCCTTACAAACAGAACTCTTGAAAAAAATATGCGTAAATATATTCAACAAATTATACACGGTTATACAAACTCTACAGTTTATTAGGCAGCGATATCTACTATATGTGATATAAACTCTGGATAATTTCTTCATGATTTGTCTATTGCTGAAATTATCCATAATTGCACTCTGGGTAATTTATCTGGAGACTATCGATGGTGGTTTTTTTGGCTTCCGTCGTTATCAGTGCACACAGTGAAGAGGAAGTGAAGAGCCATTAAGTAGAGGAGTTGCATTAGTAGAAGGAAGGCAAGATAATAGAGATGAAGATGAAGACAAAGATGAGTGAGGATTAGAGAGGTCTCGCGTGCACTTCGGACTGTGAGGGCGATTGTTACTTCCCGGCTGCCCACACCGTGGAAGTTGGTTACGTGACCGCAGAGCCCAGGGGACAACTACTTGAGGCCGGTCACACACGGCCTGCTTTTGTTTGTTGTTTTTCATTTGGTTTATCTCAGTAGCACATTTATCACTTCTGCCCTGTGACACGGCAGCAGGAAGCGCGGTCGTTGTTAATCCGGGCCCCGACCGATCCGGCATGATATTTTGTGATTTATTTTGAGTCATAGGATTGGGTTGGGTAACTGCTTTTTGTCTAACCGCTATCCAAACAACCTTTCTGGCATGGTAGGACCTACAGGAACATAAGTTCCAGCCAGTTTAGCTTGTTGAGTCGTTGCGGTGTTCAAGCCCGACCACCACTTCAAGGTAGCAGCTTTCGGGAGGGGGTAATTCATCCAAGTTGTATCGAACTGTAGGAGCAGACTGAACTTCACTAGACCGATTTAACGGGAACAGATATGAATTTTACGTCGTTATCACACTAATATTATTATCTCCTTGGGTTCCATCTCCTTTTTCTTCTACATATTTATCATCTGGTCCGTTGCCACCATCTGATGTGCGAAATGAGAGCATATTGGAACCGTTTGTAACATGAGGGACAAAAGGATGAACTATAATTGCATTACTAAACACCAACAAATACGTTATGGTGAATCTCCTCACATGAGAACTTGTTACCTGAGAGAAGCATGTCTATGAAACCAGTCAGTTACGCTGCTTGGAGAAATTTGGGCTTATTTTAGGTGGCCTACAACTAGATGTAACACTCACAGTTGTTGTGTAGACAGATCTATCCTGCTAGACTTCAGCTCTAACCACACTAACTGCTGGGCCAACCTAACATGATGGCTAGGCTGCCATCTTAACACCGCCACAACTACAGAGGGGAGAATATAGCCATCTACCGGTATTCAAGGAATTCTTTATTAAAGATGGTATAAAAAGACTACAGAGATATACAATAACACACTACAATGCACACACACAACAACAATCTTGTTCCTTGAAAAGCCAATTATCCGTAAACTGATCCAATCAGCAGAGATAAAAAAAACTGATCGTTGAAAGCGAAATGGTTCAACTGAATGGACGAATCTCATCATTTCCCTACAAGTGCAGACAGTATTTCCTTTTCTCTATTGCATTCCGTTCTGCAACAACGTTTTCACTACCTGGCTCCACGTCTGCCAACCACATGCTTTCATCTCCTCTTCGCATCACCTCCTCCTCCATGTCACCCTCACGCTGACGACCAACTAAGTCACCCCTTCCCATTCGGGTTCCACTCGAGCGATGGTCTGGCGTGTGATGTCACTTGACGATGGTTTGTTTCCTCAGAGTATGGCCTCTAATCTACCTCCATTTCTTCCTGCATATTTGTTGTACAATAGGTTCCTGCTGGGTTGGTTGGTTCGTTCATTGCCAAAGATACCTTCCTGTTGCTGATCTTTTCTGGCCGGCCATC